GGGGACTGCAGTTAGAGCAACAGCAATGCTGGTCTGGGGGCTATCCCTGAAGAACTGGGGAACTGGAGGAGGATGAAGGGAGGGCTCAGGAGATGTGAATGGAGAACTCCTTCAGCTGGACCAGCTGGATGAGCCTGAGAAGTGGGCTCAGTCCTTTTGCCAGTCCAGGATTAAAGTCATAGCCCTCAAATGGGGATTTGTGCTGTGAAGAGCATGGAGAGAGTCAGGCGTGCTTCAGTGCTGATAGGGATGCTAGAGTACCGAGGCCACCGTTAGCGCGGGATGGGGACACTGGACCAAGGCACTCTTCTACCTGTGTATTGAACAGTTTCATGGTTTAAAAGCTAAATCAAGTGCAGAACTTGCACTCCAGCTTTTACCATGGAGCTGAAATAAAAAAATAAAGTAAAATGAAATCTCTTTGGTTTGACTTATTCTGCTGCAAAAGTATTTTCATTTATTTTAAGCAGCAGCCAAAAAGCTAGAATGTTCTGAAATTACTTTCACACAAAAAGGTGTTACTTGTCTGGAATTAAAATACTTCATGTTTGTTCAAATTTTTGTTCTGTTTTCACACATCACTTGCATACTCTTCAATAGCAAATATGAGGGGTGCTTTTCTTTTTCTGTTAAACTCTGATAACCTTCGTCTAAATTGGCATATAGCTGCAACTGCACAGCTAGAAAACAAGACACTTGTAAAGTATACTTACACAGCTCTAGGAAAAGAAAATGAAGTTTGAGGAGAGTAAAACAGATTAATGTGACAATCATTTAATCTTGTCGGGATGTTTCATTATTTTGTAATGCTGCCCCCTAGGGGCGAAGAGAACAAAGTTCTAGAGGATCTGTCTTGTTTAGAGGCCTAAAACTACGTGATTGTCGAGATTTATTTTAGGTATTTTGACACGGTTTTACTGCCTCTAAGTAGGTTACTAGACTGTTAAGTTTCTTTTGTACTTTGTAGTACACTAGTATGGTCTGTGCGCTCTACAACTACAAAGTGGTAGGAGCCGCTTCTATGCTGAAAGTAAGGATGAGATACAACGAGAAAGAAAACACAAATACCACTTTGCATTTTTATAAAAGCTTTTCACGCATAACATCTCAAGCTGCCCACGCGTTTCCTGCGGGTCACTAAAAGTGACGGCCCTGAGCGCAGGCAGCGCCTGCTGCCCGTTGCCCTTCCCGGGGGTCTGGCGGCCCATGCCCAGGGCCAGCTCCGCTGCAGTGCAGCTGCCCCGGGTCGGGCTGCTGGGCAGCAGCCGTGGGAGAGAGAGCTGCCGGCAGCCCCGTCGCTCAGGGCCGGTGCCCCTGCCCTGGCGGGCAGCCCCTGTCTTCATCTGGGCCATGGCTCCTGCAGTTCGGGGCACCAGTGCAGTCCTCCAGGAAAGAAGTAACTAAAAAATAGCTGCATTAAGTCAGAAGCATCGATCTCTTTTTTTCAGACACCAAAGGGCTGAGAGCATAAAGCGTACAGCCTAACTTGGAAATGCGTTGGTACAGAAAACTCACTGCAGAGGAGAGGGAAAGAAGGGTTTCCTTTTTTTTTTTTTTTTTTGGAAAGTAGGCCATACCGTAAGCAGTTATGCCTCTGTTAGCATGGCAGGTTAAAAATTTTCAGTGTTAGGATAGTCTTTACGAGTTTTACCAGTGGATTACTACCACATATTTAGAATACGAGAATAATTACTCTGAAGCATAAATTGATTGCAAAGTGAGAAACCTAAAATATTTTCACTTAGGACCTGATAGCACGAGAGCTCAACCTCAAAAAGGTAGACTGAGCAGCTCACTGTATGATCAAACTTTAAACACAGAACTGAAAAAATAATCTGAAAAGATGCTGTTAATACATTAAGTTAGCGTAATTGTTATGGAGGATTTCAGTAAAATGCAGCACCTTTCTGAATAAGATCCTGGAGCGAGCTGTCAGTGTGTTTAAAGAACTCATCTGAAAGGAAGAAACTGTGAGACAAAGCAAAGCCTTTAAGATCAGACAAAACTTTGTGGGTTGTCAGTTAAGACTAGACTGCGTTGAGAATTTCCTGTTATCAGGCTGGTGCTGTGAATACTGAAGATGGAGGTGATATTCTCTCTTCTTCTCTCTGAACTGAAAACTCATTCCCTTCATTGAGATTTTCCCTTATTTTTTGTTGTTGTTGTTCTAATTTAATGTCTAGTTTCATATACCTGAAATTTAACTCTCTGTCTCTCCCCACTGGTATTGCCACACAAAGTTATTTAAGATTAAATATGATTAGTACTTTTGTGTTACATAGTCTAAGATAGCTTGTCATTACTGCTAAAACACTTGTGCAGTACGCACAAGTTCTGTGGATGCTCAAGAATTACATTTAGTTGACAATGAATACAAAAATTGTGGCTGTTGGTTTTTGATTTCTATCCAACTGTTTCATTACTGCAGTGGGTAAAGTCTGTTTCATGGTGTGCTTTCATGTAAGATATTTTTACAAGTATAGCAAGCTAAGTGTTGAATTTAAAATGCTATAATCTAAGTATAATTTTAGAAGCAGCATTAGGCCTTTTGGAATAAAAAATCATTCTGGAATAAGAGAGTTCCCATATTGATGCAATCTTCAAGATGGACAAACATTAAGTTAATGTGAGGACAGTGGGAAACAAGCACTGTGGAGGAACTCTTGGACCTTCTGAAATCAACAGAAATTGACTTCAGTGGGGCAGGAACTTGCTCTGTGTTTCCTAAAGCAAGCGGCTTCGGGAAGAGAGACTGTCTTGTCCCAGCCTTCTGCCTCATCTTGGTATTTGTGATCACTGCTGTGTGTGTGATGCTGGGTGAATCTCTCTCCTTCTGCGTGCTCAGTTTTCACACTCGTCAGTTTGGGGAATATTTACATAAAGTTAGAAAGTATATTAATGTCTGTGGAAGATACAGAGATCTTTTGATAAAAGCTGGTATACAGTGGGTTAGGTAGAATTATGCAACCCACTTCTTTCCTCCTCTGACACCTTAAGTGCTTATCTTGTCCCACTGCTAGCATTACTGACTTTTATTCCAAATTTCCATGTATTTTCCTGTCAAGTCCATTTTCTAATCTGAGGGTGAACTTCTTTGTTGAATTTTTATACCTATGTGGCAGGTCACGCTACTTAAATTTCTCACTGCTTTGTCTGCCTGAGCTCATCAAATTGCATTTTGGTATACGCATATGTTGTATCGCATGCAACTATTTGAATTTATTTCTGAAAGTCTTTGGTTCTGGAATACAAAATTATCATTACCATTGCATCACCCTGCAAAAATTATAATCAAAATATAATGTTGGTCTTTTATTTTCAAATCTCTGTGCACTGCTGCTATGGTTATGCACTTCGGCTTACCTACCTGCAAAGCACAACACTTAACAGCTATATTCTGGAAGGCGGCTCTGGAAAACCTGCCTTGAATTAAACGTTTCATAACAATTGCTGCCAGTGCAAATATTTTTTCCTTTTTGTATTCTTCTATTTACAGCTATACTGAAATTAAGAGAGAGAGAAAGGAAGAGAGATCTATATACAAATTAACTGAACTCGAATTTTTCCTCTTTTGTGAGTTGTATTGACATCATTGTATTGACAAAGTTGTATTGACATCATTGTTCTAAGGAGAGCAAAAGAACTACAAAGAGGAATGAGGAATGAGGACTGGTGAACAGTGCTGTCCAGCTCAGATATTTAAGAATCCTGAGTTAGGCCTCAGTTAGATACTCTACTCCAGTTCAACGGTAGAGAACAGTCCATGTAACTCTTCTTTTTCCTTTTTTTTTCCAAATATGTGACTTTGTTATGTTCTTATGTTACTTATATGCTTTCACACAGCACTTACATAACTGTGCTACAGTAATAATTGTTGGGAAGATGTTTATCAAAACGTCCATTTAATTATGTTATCTGGAGGTCAAAAAGACCCACAAAAAACAAATAGTGAAGAGGTAATTGACTTTTACGTGTTTCATGTTTGTCTATACTGTTCTTTTTGTTATTCTTTCTTCTGGGCCAGTTGTCAGGAAATTAGAAGGTAGTTAAAAGGTAGTTTACCCCCAGGTTTTTGCATTTTCACAACTAAATACTTAGTGCATAGTCTTGTGCATGCCCTGTAGGGATTTGGATGTTGAAGTGAGCGCTTGCGTACTTACATAAGAAGACTATCTTCCTGTAGGCCCTTACAGTATGGCACAGGCTGTTTGTCCTCACACTAAGCAAGACCAGCTCCTTTCTGTTCTCCCTTCTGTGTCCTGCTCCTCGGGTCTCACCCCTCTACAGCCCTGGCGTTTGTGAGCAACATCCTTGCACCCCTGATTAAACGAGGCGAGGACCGGCCTCCACAGGCACATCACCAGGCCAGAAAGCCCTCGGTTTTAACGCGTGCAGCTTGTTCCCAAGCCGGCGGGAACGAGGTTTTTGAAACCCGAGCGCTTAATCCCCCTACATCTGCCGGTCGCACGGCGGCGGGACTTGGTGGCCACCAGCCCTTCCGGG